TGTCCAGCAAAACAAACCGATTTGCAAGGTCAGCTTTCCTCTTGTTTGTGCCTTGCAATGTCTTCAAGCTAGGCAGCCCCTCCAAAGGTTCAGCTGATAGCCTGGTGGCATCAGAATCCATCAAGCTTGCCAGCCAAAACAGCAAGTCTGGCAGGACATGCTTGCAAACAGACAGGTATGGGTTGGAGTGTGACAGCTCCTCCTTGGGGTGGGCAACCAAGTAGCACAGAAAGAACAAAATATCCTTCATGCTAGCTGCAAAAGATCCACTGGTCACTTTGCACTTGCACCACTCATGTTGCTGAAGCTTCTCCCACACACCCTGGGCTGAAAAATTCCTGCTCAGCACTCTGTGCCAATCTGAAGTCACACCCTGTGATGAAAATGTCACATCCACCCTCTGCAGTGTATCATTGTCATCCTGGAAGGACAAGCCAACAGCCCCCTTGTCAAGCCCAGAAAGTGAAGAAACCAAGGTCTGCAGCAATGTGATTGATTTCAGCTTGGCATCAACAGTGGTTCTTCTGTGCCTAACCTGGTAGAAAAGCAGGCACAGCAATGCTCTGGAGGTGACTGTGTGATCATCCCAAGGCTCCATTTCTGTCTTTTCTTGCCTTAATGTCTTGTAGCCCAGCTCTGCCTCTGGTACATTCAGCTCAGCCAAGAAAACCTTCAAGCTAGCCAAATTTGTTCTGAGGTAAGCACCACCTTCCTTTGAGGAGGTGAGGTGTTTGTGAACCCTTTCATATAGCCATTGTGGCTGGCCCTGGGCATCGAAGTAAGCTCTGAGGTTCAGCCCCAAAGCCTTCCATGTGGCCACTGCAAATTTTGGCTGAATGCTGTCTTTGGGCACTGGTGCATCATTCCCCCCAGCTTCCAAGTCCATGGCAAGGAACCATGACTTGGACTGGATGCCGACTAAGATCGATGCTTCCAAATGAAACCTGTTTGAGGGACAATATAATATAATATATATATAGCATAATATGATATAATATAATATAATAAAATATAATATAATATAATAAAATATAATATATATAATATATATAATATATATATAATATATATATATATAATATAATATAGGTTGTCTCAAATTGCTTGTGATGGCTGCCAACCCTCACTTCCACCACATCTTGATGCAACATTGAATCACAAACAACTGCTGTCTGGTTGAGAAACCATGAAATGCATTGGTTCTGTTTGAGCAGGTGAAAAAGTCAAAAGCATGAATCCTCAGGACACAAATGGCAATGCCAATGCCATGTGCCATTCAAAAGCATTCAAAGGTGCCAGCACTGCTTGCACTGCTTGCACTGCTTGCACTGCAACCACCTCCCACCTAGCTGGCCTTGTGGTGCCCCAAGGAGTCTGCATGGAAGGTGCCCAGCAGCACCACAGCACCTGCACCACAACAAAGTGGGCACAGCACAAACATTGTGATGATGTCAGCTTGCACAAAGCACCATCACTTGTCTCTGTTGCAATTTACTCTGAACCAGTTGGCCAAGAAAATGCAAATTCTAGTCTGCAACAACAGCTGGCCTTGACCACAGCAAAATTTCAAGAGCTGCTTCCCAAGCTCCTAGGCTGCCATAAGTGCAGTTAGGCTGAAACTGTGCCACTGGAGTGAGGCAAAACATATGTAGTATAGAACTGGCAAAGGTAATGAGGATGTCAGCTTGCACAAAACACCATCACTTGTCTCTGTTGCAATTTACTCTGAACCAGTTGGCCAAGAAAATGCAAATTCTAGTCTGCAACAACAGCTGGCCTTGACCACAACAAAATTTCAAAAGCTGCTTCCCAGGCTCCTAGGGTGCCATCATAAGTGCAGCTAGGCTGAAACTGTGCCACTGGAGTGAGGCAAAACATATGTATATAGTATAGAAATGGCAAAGGTATATAATGACATACACTTGTTTACATACCAATGTGTATATAATATAATAACATAATTAGTAGTATTGTACATGTGCATCCACCTAAGAAATCAAACCACCAGAGAATATTAATGTGCATCCAGGGCTCCACTTTAGTGCTTCCAACAATCAGCCATGTAGAGCCCTCTTGCCACACATATGCACCCTTGGCCAGGAGGAGCGACTTTTTTGCAAATCCTTGGCTGGCAAAAACCACCCAAGCTGGAAGCTTGCAGGGAGCCATGCACAAAGAACCATCAGCACAGCTCTGTCAGCATATATCATAATATCATGTATTAAATTAGTGGTATTGTTCTTTAATAAATGTTTAGTTTCATCAACTGTCTATAAAAAGTTTGGCTGGTTAGTTAGTTTAGCCCACAATCATAATTATTAAATAGGGAAATGATAGGTAAATGGGGTATACATACAATATAAAAAGATGTACTGAGAATATAGTTTTATACATGGGGATTCATTCAACAACAGGAATGTTTTAATCATGTCATAATTATTTCATTAATCATTAGTGGCTATTTTCTGTTTAAATGTTTGGTTCGACCACTTGTCTATAAATGTTTGGTTCAACCAACAACACAATGACAAATAGGGAATTATAGGTATAATGAGAATATAAATCTGAACCCTTGGGAAATTGGCACAAACAATACCAAACCACTGATGTCTAAACCAAAGCTCTTTGAACATCGCAAACAAACACTGCACTGGCTGCAATGCCATGCCTTTGTTTTGGATGACTGTGGTGACTGACCTACTGCCACAGCCTTGTGGAAGCATCCAGCAGGCATGATGGAAGTCCTGGGGAAACAAAAGCAGGCATTCTCAATGTCCTTGTCTTGGACTGCTCTGGAGCTGAGGAGCAAGGATTTGGCCAGGCTGAAGTCATAAAGGATGCTGCTGCAAGCCTCACCCTTTTCCCAGCCAACTTTCTTCACAGTGTGCTCCCAAAGCAACTTGGTGCAAGCCCTGCCCTCAGGCTTGCCAAAGCATGCCAAAGCAAGCTCTACCTGTCCCTTGGTAAACTGTGTTTGTAAATGGTGTTCCAAGTCATGTTTTTCTATTGTTGTCAGGTACACCCTGCATCTCATGCAAGACTCAGCACCCCAAAGTTTCTGTGATTGACCCTTCTCTTCAGGGTCACTGACCTCATCCAACCCACCATGATCACTAATGAGACTAACAGTGGCTTCACTGCAGCAGTGGGACTTGGAGCTTTCCCCATCCTCATCAGCATCCTCAAAGTCATTGCCAGTGGCCATGCCAAGGTCACTGGAGATGTCTGTCTCCATCATCTTGGCTTGGCCAGGCCCAAATGGAGACAAACAGCCTTAGCTGGCAATGCAATGGTGGCTGGCAAAAGATGTAGGAATGTAGGCACTGAAAAGGATTATTACTTTCCATCCCCATTTTGTGGTGGCCCCTTCTACACCAAACAATGACGACAACAACAACAACAACAGCAGCAACAACAACCCCAGTAATTAAATAATTATAATAATACAAAATTGAATGGGTGTTAACCCAACTCCTTGCTGAATTTTTCTTCAACATTGGATCCAAACAAAACCCCAGGCCACAGATGGTGGGAAGCAGCAACAAAAATGTCATAAACAGTTTTCAATGGGAATTCCAGGATCCTAAAATGGAGGTACTGA